ATCAGATCGGAAGTGTAGAGGTTAGATGCTATCAACAAAATCTGCCATTCAAAACTTTAACCAGCGATGAGACTTTTGATGCACACCTCTGAGGAGTTCTACTATTAGACTAAATTGTAGTCCAACACCTTATAGTTTTGAGTGGATGTTTAACTGAGATCAGTCTGTAATGTAAAGAATAAGAAAGTAACGATTACTGTCCTCAATATAATTTTTTAAATAGGTCACAAGTTAATATTTGTCTTAATCTGAAAACAGGTCATTCAACTACTTGTATGTATGTGTGCGCGTCACTAGTAACATAACGTTAGTTTCCCTAAATTGCTCTTCATATAATTTTGTAAATTTCTCATGCATTAATGTATGATATATTACGGTAAGACATTAACTAGATCACATCATATGAGTAAGCAAATTGAATGACCGTTAGATAATCATCTGAGAATGAGATCGCTTGCACTAATTTGGCGTGATTGATGGTCAGCTTGAACTAACGGTCAGATATGAGTTCAATCAAAATATCAAGGGGACATTTTGTATGCAAGATATGATTTCTATATCTAGTAAATCAATAAGTACAGTCTTGTTACAAAGTTTTAGAAATGCAGTGATTCGTTTCTCATCATTGTTAATCAACGTTGAGAATAATCACGTAAATTACAGTTCACAATGTGGACAAGAGTAATGCCATGAACAAATTATCTTCTCATATTGAACAAATATCCAGTGATGGATATCATTTCACCATTTACTAGTGAAACCATGAAAAGTGTGAATTTGTTTTTACTTATTTATATATATAATAATCAGAACGTATGAAACACGTCTGATGTGTACAATGCAATAAAGTAGTCTGTAGTATGCTCTTTAAAACAATAGGCAATGACAGTGTAACGAATACACGCTAGTGTAAGTTTTTTGAAGACACACTTGTTTCTACATTGAATTTATCAGTTTCATGTGGTTGTATCTATAAGCTCTTTGACGATTTTTGTTGTTGTTGTTTGAAGTGGACATCGATATCCTCAATCACAGTATGTCTACATATATTAGTTACTCAATGAGTGATATGAGCTATGTTGTCACACCATTGGTCGTTATATGCTCACGTATCATACTCATTCTACGTAACTAAGATTGAAGTCATTTAAATTAAATTGCACAATATTTTATTTGGTTGAGTATTCACTGAAAAGATTGAGAATGCTATGTGATGTCCATCCAACTGAATTAGTCTAAATGCATCATGACATTGTTCACTTTTTGTAAACTTAAATTCACACATATCTTATCGAGGAGTAAAAATACATCATGTTGAAGTGACAATTGGAATCATCTGAAATGAATGAATTCAACATTACCCAAAGATTCATCTGATGTCACATAATCTCGAATGAAGTGGTTAGTTTAGGAAAGAACAATGATGACTGGAACAGACATGGTTATCTCCTTAAAATGTAGAGAATCGACACACTGATAGAGTATACTCATATCACCATCGTCTAGCTTACACTATTTTCATCTGTCTTCCACTATCTGACTTATGAATTTGAAGAATACATATGATCAAATGGATGGTGATGTGATACAGAGATTGAATGTCACTAATCTTACCACCTCTTCAGCATTTAGATGTACCATACAATTACTTTTTCCATAAATACAGTTTACCTCACTGTTCTTCACTACATTGATGTTCCTCAGTGGTTTGTCAGATATGTTACTACAGTTATCACTATTATTAATTTAATGGGCATGTTCACTGCCTTTCGAGTGAACTTGATAAAAAAGGATGACTATCATATTGAGGAGTTTCAAGAACAAAGTACATTCATAGCTTCGTCATTTATAGCACATTCGTATCGTGAAAAATGAACTATGACTGTTGTATATTCCGATGCTTTACTGGTCTAATCTCTCTACAATTCATCTACACTGAAATCCAGTGTGAATTGTCCAGATGAAATAACTATTCGTCTCGGTTATAATGAAAAAACTAAATACACCTAGATTTGTTCAACATATAATTTTACAGTTACAGATGGATTATGGTGTCATGACAGATGACTGTGAACTGATATGACAGGAATACATTGACGATAGAATGATGCTGTCAGTGAAGTGCATGATTCATCAGTTATATAAAAATTACGCATTGCACAATTGATCTCGTCGCATAATCGAACAACTACTTAAATTTCAACGTTCCCATGTCCACAAACGGACCATGGAATAGTCAGTGGAGTGGTTACAAATACGTTCGTTATTTGGGCCGAAAGGTAATTTCATTACATATACGTAAGTGAAAGAATACAACGGGTCACAGTGAGTAATAATGAGTACACCATCATAATTCACATTTTCGTTGGAGGGTTAATTATCATTTAAACTTGTGTCAATTTAATGTCTGTTACTTGTTTACTCTGGAGAACTAACTAACATTAGGTTACGAAACGTCAGAAATACTATTCTCCAACTCATTGAGATATGACAAATTGCATAACTATTATCACCTCTCCTCAAAACGCTTAATTTATTTGAAACTATCAAGTCCAACCTTGATGAGGACACCTTTCTGTTGCTTTCTTCTTACATAATTCAAAAACGTGAACCAATTGAAAATCACTATGATCATCACAAATAGAGCCAGTGACCGTGATGTAACGCAGGAATCAGTAATTCTCACATCTATCCAATACATACTCTAGTGATCGTTAATTCATCACCACTCACTCAGGTAAGCGATAATACTGTGCTGTGTATAAGAATCATGGACGCCTTCATGTAAACATCACTTATCAGTCTGTACAGCAATCACAAACCGTCACTGGAGCAACAAATCTATCTCATTTGTCTTTATATTTCTTACTATTTTTCTCATAATGGATGACAATCACTTTGAAAACTGGCTTCTGTCTCGAGTTATTTTCTCACAGTTTTTTCTATAATTGGTGACTTCCTTCAGTTAAACTGTGGATGTCGCTCAAAGTGACTAATTCTATGAATCATCAAGGTAAGACATTATTTGTTCAACATTGTGACGTCTTTGAACAAATATTGTGGGCGATTATTTTAATACCTTATAGAGAAGCTCATGATAAATTCCACAAGTATTACAACGAAATAGTCACATTTGTCTGTACAAACTATATCGTAGAGCTTATTCTCATTCACAGATTTCATTATTCATTGTCTGAATTCCGTAAACTGACTGTATTTAACTACACAAATTGTCGGACATCGAATTAGACGTATAGAGATTAGGCACGTTCCACAAAATCTTATCGTCAAATGTTAGTATCAGAAAATAACGACTGCTGTATTTATAATACGTTAATTACATCACAATTTATTATTAACCCTTATCTGATAGATGAGTGTTCATCCACATCTGCGTGTGTATGTAACTAGTAACACCATGTTATTTTTAATTAATTACTCTTGATTTAAATTCTTATTTTTGTCATGCGTTATTGACTTACACGTCTACTGCAATTGATCGTATTTATGATATCATGATTGGTTGACACTCACAAACTCGTTGTGTAGTAAAAGTATAAAAGCAAGGGAGTATGTGAACGGTTGAAGAGAGAAGATACTCTAACGTAAAGGTAAGTTAGTCAAATGTAAATGGTTCAATTAGTGTTTCATTATCTTTTTGAAACTAACCTCTAAACCACGAACTCAATCTGATGTATAATTAGACAGTAATAGAAACAGTTAATTATAACATAACGTTGTGAATGTGTGGTCAGCCTTAATAACTTCTTGATTATTTCTTAGTTCACTTTATAGTATTCATCATTGCTCAAATGTGGTCTCCAGGACTGTTAGACGTTATCGCTGATAGCTATGGAGATACTTCCACGAACAATCGTATAGATTATGTAGTCACAAATCGACAATTTTCGGATTAGGTCTAGTAGTATCTTGGTACATATACACAGCCAGACCATAATTCTACAGACCTTTCAAAATACTGATGATTCATGTGATGGTATTTGGCATTGAGTTTGGTTTCTATCATCTCATTAGTGCAATCTGTACCATGCAATCTAAGCAAAATCTAGTGATGCAAACGGCATTGGGTAAAATGCTTGTAGCAAGGTCGGTGGTTCTTTGGAGCACAAATCAAATGATGACAATAACATTTTAGTATAAATTTGGATTCCAGTGTTTATCAAATTTGTATAAATGCACTTCAGTTGATGTGCATCAAGTCAACATAAGCGTGAGCCGATTGTATAGTTTGGTTACCGTTGTAAATATATTTTACGAGATGATCCCATAGTTCTTAATAAGATTGAAGGAAGGTGGAATGTGTATAATGTATTCATGTCTGCCGACGGGTTTATCACCGGACGAGTTATAGACTGCAATTTATACATGTAGAAAAGCAATATGGACTATCAAAAATCAAGGAACGCAATATGGTGAGGGTCGTACTGTGAGAAAGCAGTAACCCAATACGATATAACAAAAGTGTATAGAACAGTGTAGAAGTAACATCGAATGCAATTATTCTGGAAATCACAGTGATATTCTGCGCAAACATATACAGATAGACTAATTAAACAGGCTCTAACCGTTTAGATTTTTAAATGGAATCCAGTCGAATAACAAACCACATACCAATGCACTCTATTTTCGTAGTTATATAATGGATTTAGAACTTATCGACATCATACCGATAACAACATGAGAGTGATACAACGACACCGATAAGCGTTTATCATAACTCACATTAGGAAGTGATGTGTTCGTCAACGATCACACAGGTACAACTCAAAGCCACAAACGACGATTGAGCTCACAATTTCCAATTCTAGACCACTGATCCAATTCTCAACGGTCTCAATGTCTAACATCAAACCGTCCGCGATATTGCGCGACAATCTCAACCTATGTTGATAGCACATTTTCAAATAAACTGCAATTTTAATTCTATTTTATCTTACAGATAAATAGTTCAACTACATTCTAAACATTTTCAATTCAGAATGATAATGAAATACATCTCTGTTGTCGTCTTAATATTTACAACTGAAATGCTCAACACTTACAATGCTAAGGAAGAGAATTCATTAGAACCAACATCGATTCTATTCAACTTCACTGATCCCCAAACCACTGCATTTGAAAATTGGATTGAGGTATCAGATGCAATTCTAATCGGAGGGCGGTCTAAAGCTACAATCGTACCACTCAATGGAACGGTAAATGTTGCTTATAAATATAATGTAACTAACATTATCGTGTTTAGAATTACCAATCGGCATTATTGTTCTATCTACTCAATCCACGAGAAAATGGATCGAGTTTCGCTGGTGTCTACAGGCAATTGGATACTCCGGATATTTCAAAATATACAGGTGTTGTGATTGATCTACATAGACAGGGTGTAAATTCTAAATTCCAATTTATACTCTATGGCGAATGTTCAGAGGTGCGAGATTGTGAATCACATGAGTCGCGATTCGAGGTAATGAGATATTCAGTTGTGTAGAATAATTCAACTTGCTTTCTATGAAATATTTATAGACACCTGAAATACGAGAAAAAGTGAAAATACCATTTAAAAACTTCTCAGCATACTTTCGTGGAACACCGAAATCTGATTCAAATCATCTAAATTTATCTCATACATCACGTATTGGAATAAAAGTATATGGAGGAAGCAATGCGCCGGAAAACCAATTTGGTCCAGGTTCCATCGAAATATTCACCATTTCAACATATACGGATGATCAAATGCCAGCTTAAACAAACCGAGCTTATAGGAGTAATGGACAACTTGATATGTAGCGCTTATTCATACTATAATTATTTTCGTTTGTGTTAAGTAGTTTTATCAATAAATATCACACATCTACCTACAAGTTTTGAATGTTTTAATGGGTTTCTTGTAGTTCATGATACAATCAGTAAAGTCAAACGGTGATGAACTTAAGATGATTGATATTCTGTTTACCTGGAAACTGATTATCAGTCGTTTTATGTACATCGATTATTATACTAGATTACGTAATGTGTATAATAACAGTGAACTTGAAAACATAGTAACGGATCACTACATGAATGTATTAAAATGATTGAAATTTTTCGATCAGTTTAAGAATATTAGATATAATGACGGAAGTATTTTAAGTAAGAAACCCCAAGAGGTTATCAATGAACACATAACAGACGAGAATTTGATTATCATGGTAAGCAAATATAGAGCTGAAACCGTCATATTTTGCATAAATGATTACATTGACAGAATGAATAACCGACTGAATGATCAACAAAATTATCAGAACCTGAATCATCCAAGTCCAAATGGTTCTCTTGTTTTTGTTTCTCCATAATGACTCGTCATTTCTTTTCGTATGTGGAGTGTCTAGTAAGGCTATTGTACCTCCATTTTCTTTCTCATATGTGCATTATATGGACGATTGAACTTTATTGAACTGCTGAAGTGTTTCTATCAAGCCAGTACAGTCAGTATAAAGCATAAACTTGTTGTCCATATATCGGCAGTAAAATGAAGTCTTATTAGTCTGTTGTGGCATTGTTCAAATCTTTCAACGCTATGAAGTAACACTCGTCAAAAAATGATGAGACCGAGTTGTCGACTATAGGCAATAACACAATGACATCTGATTTCAATGAGGATTCAACACCAACAACTTTCATACAGCCAGGTGATTTCGTTTACTTAATTCTATTGAACTTCACGGATCCTAAAACCACTACATTTAAAGATTAGATTGATGTATCAGATGCAGTTCTAACTAGAGGTCTATCTAAAGCCATTGACGTTCGACATACTTCATATGTATATATTTATCTGTAAATGTAATTTAACAAACACCATGTTCAAAATTACAAATCAGTAATATTCTTCTATCTACTCAATTCAAAACGAAATGGATCTGGTTTTGCTGGTGTATAACACGACCTGTTAGAACATGAAGGTATATTTATTGATCATCAAAGACAGGATCAAAATCCTACTTTCGAAATAAACTTCTCCGGTAACTGTTCGAAAATATTCTTTTGTCCATCATATAAAATTTTATTCTGTGTAACATGATATTCAAATCTGTATTATCACTCAATGTGTTTTCTTTCATACTGTGGTTGACCAAAGATTATATTAACTCGGAAATGACAATAAAGTTAATACGTCCAAAAGTTAATATTGTAATATACCGGTTACGATTCATAAAGACAAATCAAGTTTATTGGATGTTACTTTAATAAGCAGACTTTGGCATGTACAAGTTGCATGTGGTATCACAATCTACAATTATGGATAATTAACAATTACGACGAGGTTGTTATGATGTCAGTAAAATAACCGGACTTACAATATAATGGAAATATGGATACAGTCTATTAACGTAGACAATAGATAGTTTAGAGTTCAATTATGATCACTACACGTAATGAAAAACGAAAGATGTGTGTGTAGTAATGTATTAACGAGCAGTTAACAGTGTGTATCATGCTATGAACGGTTGAAAACAGAAGCGAGTGAGTTCAAGGTCATGCGGTTTCATACAAATTATACAATCGTTTGTGATCAATGTACAAACTATGATAATTAGCAATAGAAATGCAGATAATATCAAGAATAAGTATGTGGTGCCTATCTTTAAAATATCTTCATAGACATGAGGAGAACAAAACAAATAACGTTACATTGAAAGCATACTTTCAAGGAGAACTGAAACCTGATTTGCCAAACTTCCGTGAAAAACGGAACTCTGATTCAATGGTTTAAGATTTGACTGAAATATCTCGTTTTGGTATACACGCATATATTCATAACTACCTGGAGGAATGACAGTTTGATCCAGATTCATTGGAGATACCATCAATCGGTGTTCACAAACTCAAACCAACAGGCAATCATTAGTCAACTGGAATTGCAAGTGTATTTGTAATGCTCGTAAATGTTAGTTGTATAACGTTGTTGAGTTTGAATGAGCGATTCTGTCGAATAGTCATTGGAAATTAATCATCATTTGTATTGTTGTTCTTCCTTTTGCGTAATTTTCTATTTGTGTTATCTGAAATTCGAGAAAATCAGCAGTAAGTGAAAAGTGAATTAACTCAGTTGACTGAGATTATCAATTTATGTGAGATTAGTATACAACCAAGTAGCAATGTTTACGTTTACTTTAAAAGTTAAACGTGTCAGAAGTATTTGTCGTTTGACAGCACCTTACCCGTCACAACTTTGATGATCGAAACGTGCCAAATCAGTGAAATCAGAAGTCAGAAGTGCAAAGTTTCAACGATATATATTCGATAGACTATTGGCATATCGATAAGCGACTGATCTGAGTGGACTACCGGTTGTAGAATATGTTGAGCCCAGTGTATCCACTAGTGTTCTGGTACAGATCCGTGACCGAGAGCATTCAGCTAGGTGAGTCCATTAAAATGATTTTAACCAGCATCAAATATTAAAGACTTACAGATCCATTGATTTTGAGCATTCATTTACTACCATAACGTGCATGACTCGTTCAACCAAACAAACGACTAAGTAATATCAGATGAAAGTTTGTGAAGTTACAACTGATATTGCAAAGAAATGTACTTAATATCACACAGGCAATCGCTGTGATTATATACAGGGACTGGTACACTCTATACATTGGTCAATTATCAAACAAGCAAAATTGCCGACATGAACTAGGTATCGGAAGGCAACCGATTTAAATATGGTAGTTCTGTGTTATACGAAAACCAGGTCAAGTGTTGAAAGTTTAACAGTTTGAACGTTACTTTTAGGGATATTATCGTTTGAGCTCTAGTGTTTGTAATCTAGATCTTATCGACGAACTGGAATGCTCCCTCAATACTATGTTTCTCGACGTGTTTGTTGAGTGGTTTCAAAATGTTAACTAACCACTTTGCTACAGAATGATATGAGGAATCTTACGTTTCCTTAGATGATCTTAATTCGATGTTGCATTCCCGTGAATGATCTTCATCGGACATCCAGTTTGTGTACCTACGGTAGGCCTTATAACGCAGATAAATGGAAACCTACCGCCCTCACTGTTTTGTATATGATTGATGGAATCATCTGTTGATCTTTGAGCTTTTATAGTCATCCGGCCAAATCATTCTCGCTCTTACAATTGTCATCGTTTTCTTAATTCAGTTTCTGGACGTCCTTGTGATCATTCAAGATGTAATTAATTTTGTAAATCTATTCATTCTTGCTAAGGGGAACAATTCGTGTACTTTGATCAGGTTTTGTGATAATCAACTTCCCGTCATATATGAGTTCATTGATAGCCTCTTTGTATATTGTTGTTGAATTACTTATGTAAATATATCTAATAATTTCAAACTGGTAATAACACTTTAATCATCTTAATACATTCATGTTGTGATTTGTTACAAGATTATGAAATCCATTGTTATTCTTCACTTTACGTGATCTAGAATTGTGATCTTTCACTTGCAACATCAAGATCATTCCTTGTTCATATGTCCTCATGCAACCGGTGCTTTAAGTACAAAACTGTTCACTTACATATATGTACGAAAATACAGCTTGATAACAAGTTTGTTGTAAAGAGATCTGTTTGCTGAAAAATTATCCATTTGTTCGTAGCTTGAAAGTAAACGATATTCAATGTGTATGAAAAGAATGATAGTCGACGCAACCAGTAGGCAGATAAGTACATCTCATCCATTGAATCTGACTTTCATGAAGAACATTTTATTAATATCATTATATGTATGTAGATTTTCTTCATGTAAATATACACAAGATCAATATGGATTTCAAAGTGAGTCACTGTACTAGTACATGCATGTAATCAAATGGATCACATCATATGAGTAGACTGACAGGATGATTTTCAGCCAATCATATAAAAATGAGATCGCTTGCCCTCATTTTAAGTGAACTAATGATAAGATTTATGTTCAGTTAAAATAGCACAATGTTGAACTGCAAATATACAACTTGTTTAACTTCATACGCTGTATCAACGTAAAACATCTAAGTTGGGCTACAATCAAAAGAATAATAAAGGGATATTTCGTATGCGAAATACGATTGCAGATTTCGTCAACCATATTTTATTTGGTAAATCAATAAATACAGTGCCATTAGGAAATTTTCGAAATTCAATGATTCGTGTCTCTTCCTTTGTACTCAACGTTGATGGATAATACTGTAAACTACAGTTCACAATGTCGCGCATTATATATTAAGTAATATTGACCAAATATCCATTGACAGATATCAATTAACGATTTGTTAGTGAAACAATGAAAATGTGGATTTCTTGTCACATATCTAAATATACAAAATTAAAACCTATGAAACACGTTTTATGTGTACAATGTAATAAACTAGTCTGTAGCAAGACTTGACACAATAAGCAATGATAGTTTAAGACTACACGTTGCTGCAACATTCTCGAAATCCCACTTTTTTCTACATTGAGTAAATATAAAAAA